GGCCTGCCATGTGGGAGTCCAATGACATAACCATTTCACCATCTTCTGGTCCTGCTGTTTTGAGTATCTTAATATTGAGTATCTTAATTTGGTAAAATCATATAGCGAGTTTTGATTAAAGTAGTCACTGTGGTTTACATATTGCTTGTCACCCGAAAAGTTATGTGCTAGAGGATTGGTCCCAAATAATGGCATTGGGCAGTAGTGAAACCTTTATGTGGAGATGGGACATAATGGTCATTGTTAGGATCATGGGAGCACTGCGATAGAAAATAAATTAATGTCTTCTTATGGGAAGGTGTGTGCTCTTTCTCTGGTGAATAGGTTAGCGCAGAGCAGAGTAAGCTGTTATAAAAGTAGGATGGTTGCCTACAGGTCACTCTCACTCTTTCTCTTTGCACATGCCCACTTACTTTTCCATTTCTTTTCTCCCTGTGGTGATGCAGCAGAGGTTGGCTACATGCCAACTCCATGCCTTTAGACTTTATAACCACCAGAATCATAATCTGAGTAAATCTCTATTCTTTTTTATTGTTGTTAATTTTTCACAGAACATGCATGTGCTTACAAGAGAGAGACAGAGTAAAAGGAAAGGGAGAAAGTACTCCCCAATGGGGCTTGATCATGCAGCAATCACTTCTTCTCTATCTCACCATCTCCTTGAGATTTGGGGCACACATGCACATGTACCCAGCATGTTTTTTTATGCTGCTAGAGCCAGAATTTGAACCCATGTGAGATCCAGCTCCCTTAACCACTAAGCCATAGGGCTGGTCCAAACTTCTGTTTTCTATAAATCACCTAGTAACATATATTTCTGTTTAGCAACACAATAATGGACTAAAATAGTAATTACGATATTTTATAATCCCAATCATCAGGACTTTCTCAAGGGAAAACATGTTATAGTTACTTGTAATTTGTAACTAGGCTGTTCTATGTGAAACAGTTATTAGCACCTTTTAAAGATAACCCTTTTAGGGACCAACAGATGGCATAATGTTTATGTTACTGGATTCCCACATGGTCAGCCACGGTTCAAGTCCCGGACTTGGCATCTTAAAACTCACACTAGGCACGTGTGCATGTGTTCCCAAAATCCCAAGAGGAAAAGGGATGAGAAGGGATTGCAGCGTGGCTATCGAGCCCGAGGTGTGATTTGTAGCTTTCTGTCACTCTGGTGAGCACACTCACCCTATAGCAAAAATTTCTTAAAATAAATAAATAAATAAAGATAACCCTGTCTGGAGTGACTATTGTGAGAACACCAATTTAAAAGCACAAGATTTTATTGTGTGTATGGCAGTCTATGTTTGTTCCGCAGTGCTGATTTATTAATAAACCTATGAAGATATTTACTAAAGATTTCTGAAAAGGTAGAGTACATTGGAGGGGATACTGTGCAAATAACAGAAATTAAATATGTTAACAATAGAAAAAATGTAGTGAGATTCTGGCTAGGAAATGATGTAAATAAAAGTCTAAATAAGAGCCTATATTATACTTGTTACCTAACTTACTAAGTAGACTAACATTCACCTAAAATATACTATCACTCAATTTATTTTTATGGGCATGGAGGAAACATGTTTGTTTATCTTCAGCAATATGTGTGCTATTGTACAAAGACTAAAGATAAAAATTTTCCAAGGCCATAAGCTGATTTTATCATATTTATAATAATTCTAAATTTTTTTAAGGTTTTTGTCATAGGGCACATGCACTCATCAGAGAAAAACAGTGAAAAAGAAAGTGAGAAATCACCCCCCAGGAGGGATGGCCACACTGCAATCCCTTCTCCATTCTCTCAGAATTTTGGGCACATATGCACATGTGCCTAGTGCAATTTTCAAGCTGCCTGGTCCAAGACTGGAACCATGGCCAACCATATGGGAGTCCAGCACCTTAACCACCACACTGAACCCAACATATCTAACATTTTACCTGTTGTGCTGATTGCATTTTGAGGTGTCTACAGTAGTACCTAAAATTCGTGTATGTAATTAGAAAGCATGCAATTTATTTTAGGACGTTTTATCCCAGTTTTCTCTTATCACTATAGCACACAGTTAACTGTAGTCACCAATTTGGAAAAAAAAAAGCACATTTCACAGTATAGTTATTGGTATAAACTCACTATACTTTATGAATAAAGCATAAACTATAACTTTAAGGAATCATTTCCTAAACAAATTGGCAATTTAGTAGCTCAACCTTTTATTTTGTTTGTTTTGGTTTTGGTTTTGTTACTTTTTAGAGAGACTTTTTGCTATAAGGCATGTGCTCTTTCCAGGGAGAAGAGAGAGACAGAGAGATAGAAGGCAATAATCCACCCCCCAGGGAGGGCCTCACTGCAATCCCTTCTCCATTCTCTCAGGATTTGGGGCATGCATGCAACTGCTCCCTGTGTACGTTTTAAGCCACTGGGTCTGGGACTCAGGCAGCGGTAGACTATGTGGGAGTCCAGTGACATCACCTTTATGCCATCTACTGGTCCCAAGTAGCTCAGTCTTTAAATCAGCTTGGTTAATAATTTTTAAAAAATATTTTTGCCAGGGAACCAGCAGTTAGCGTAATGGCTATGTTGCTGGATTCCGCTCACCAGAAAGAGACAGACAGTGATAGGGAAAGTGAGAAATCACTCCCCTTGGGGGTAAGGGCATGCCACAGTCTCTTCTTTGTTATTCTCCTCCTGGAATTTTAGGTATGCATGCACATGTGCCTAGCATCATTTTCAAGCCACCAGGTCTGGGACTCCAACTGTGGTCAGCCATATGGAAGTCCAACATTAAACACTATGCCAATGGTCCTTAAATCAGTTTGCTTTTTATGTTATTTGACTTTGCCTTTTTAAAAAATATATATATTTATTTAATTTTATTTATTATTATTGTTATTTTTCGATTTGCTATAGGGCACATACACTCACAAGAGAGAGAGAGATAGTAAGAAAGCAAGATGCCAAGTCCAGGACTCAAACTGTGATCAAGTATGTGGGAGTCCAGCGCCTTAAACACCACTTCATCTGCTAGGCCTGAGAGTTTTGGCTATATAGCATGTGCACTTGCCTGAGAGAGAGAGACAAAAAGTGAGAAATGACACCCTGGAGAGATGGCCACCCCTCAATCTCTTCTCCATTCTCCTTTCAGGATTTTGGGCATGCACACACATACTCCTGATGTGAGTTTTATTATTTTATTTTTTTAGGATATCAGAAGATTTATTGAGAACTGTGATTAAGGAAGGGGCAGCACAGTATGAACCCTCATGAGTGCAAGGCTCTCCACTTGTCTAGAGGACGACGATTGGGGATGTATTTGACACCACAGCCATCAGGGATGAGGCACTTCTCAGCCACCATATCTTCAAATTCATCAGAATTAAACTTGGTAAAGCCCCACTTCTTTGAGATGTGGATCTTCTGTCGACCAGGGAACTTGAACTTGGTCCTACGGAGAACCTCAATCACATGCTCCTTGTTCTGCTGCTTGGTGCAGATGTACATGATAACCTGGCCAATGCAGACCCTGGCTACTATGCCCTGAGGCTTCCCAAAGGCACCCCTCATACCTGTCTGGAGCCTGTCAGCTCTGATGAGAAACAACATCTGGTTGATGCCGATGACATGGAAAGGGTGGAGCTGCAGTCAGACAGGAAAGCCATCATATGATGTTTGCACAAATATGAGCAGCTTCCAGGGCCTCTGACCAGAGCTGTTCATATAGACATAGAGACAGAAAGCGAGAAATCACGCCCCAGGGGGGATGGTCACGCCGCAATCCCTTCTCCTCCATTCTCCTCTCGGGATCTTGGGCACGCATGCACACGCGCCAGGTGTGAGTTTTAAGCCACCGGGTCCAGGACGTGAACCGCGGTCGACTACGTGGGAGTCCAGCGACATAGCCATTACGCTAACTGCTGGTTCCCAAAGATGCGGATCTTGGCATCTGGGACACCTCGGCAGAAGCGCGACTTTGGGTACCGCTTGTTCTTACAATACCGGTAACACCAGGCAGGGCGGCGGCCCATGGCTGACACCAAGATCTTCGGTGGCGCGCTGGAGGTAAAGAGCCCTGATGTGAGTTTTAAGCCACTGGGTCTGAAACTGGAACTACGGTTGACTATTTTAACCACTACGCCATCTGCTGGCCTCTTGGCCATGTCTTTTAACTGATCTTGCAATAGGACTAGTTTTTTTTGTTTCTTTGTTTTGAAGAGAGGTTTTTTTTTTCTATTTTTTTTCTTTTGCTATTGGGCATGTATGCTTGCTGGAGAGACAGAGAGACATAAAGTGAGAAATTGAGAAATCACCTCCTGGGTAGATGTCCACTCCACAATCCCTTCTTCTCCATTCTCTTCTCAGGATTTTGGGCATATACGTACATACGTCCAGAGTTTTAAGCCAACAGGTCCAGGACTTGAGCGGTGGTCGACTACATGGGAGTCCAACAACATAACCTTTACACCATCTGCTGGTTCCGAGTACTTCAATCTTTAAATCAACTTGCTTTATAAAAAATATTTTTTTAGGTTTTTGCCATATGTCACTTGCCAGAGAGAGACAGATAGTAATAGGGAAAGTGGGAAATCACCTGCTGTGGAAATGGCCTCACCCAAATCTCTTCTCCATTCTCCTCTTGAAATTTTGGGCACACACACACACATGCCCAGTGTGAGTGTTAAGCCACTGGGTCCAGGACTCAAACTGCAGTTGACTACATGGGAGTACTGCAACATAGCCATTACCCTATCTGGTGGTTCCAGGTCTAGTTCTTTTTTATATATACAAAACTACATTTTGCAAACTACTTTTGTTGCTGTATTCTATCTTCATACTTCTGTTCATTAACATTTAAATTTTACTTTTATCAGAAAACTGGAATTATATTTTAATATACTTTTTGATGTTTTTGTTTCCATATTGTTTCTTTGTAAGAAGTATCATCTTTTTAAGCATATGGTTTTATTTTTAATTCAGTATCCAATATATAATGTGCTCTGTGTTTCTACGTAGTTTTCCATAATAAAGTTCAATTACACTGAACTAGTGGGTATATAAGAGAAGAAGGTATTTAAATTCTTAGCCAACTGATTATTACTTTCATTTGAAATTCTCTGGCTAATTGAGAGATATGAACATCAACAGATTTTAATCCTAAAATACAGAAAATCAGCTAACTAGTATCATTTTCTATGTTTTCTGGAACAAGTGGAAGAATGACTTTATAAATAAATGAATATATAATTTATGATATAGAATTAGAAAGATTATATTAAAAAGATAATATTAAATGTACATCCATATTGATATTTCAGGTCTTGTTTTAAAAAATGAAATATTGTAACTTTTTTTTTTGAGAAGTTTTCGCTATAAGGGCGCATGCGCTCACCAGACAGACAGAGAGAGACAGAGACAGAAAGCGAGAAATCACCCCTCAGAGGGGATGGCCATACTGCAATCCCTTCTCCTCCATTCTCCTCTTGAGATCTTGGGCACGCATGCACACGCGCCCAGCGTGAGTTTTAAGTCACCAGGTCCAGGACATGAACCGCGGTCAACTACGTGGGAGTCCAGTGACATAGCCATTATGCTAACTGCTGGTCCCTAAAAAATTAAATATTGTAACTTGAAGCAATAGAAATATAGATTGTCAACTCCTGAATACCAGTGGCCAATGCCAATCTGTTTTATATGGTAATTTTCTAAGCATCTGGAATAGCTCAATTGTATAACCAAAATATTTGATGCAGGTAGTATTGTGATTACACATATCCTAAAAAAGATACATGAATATACATGAAAGAGCCATAGTTTGCAATGCAAATTTATGATAAGGTAATGGTCTTTCTAATCTTCAATTTTAGGGACAAATATTTTCAGAATAACTTTATTTTGTCTATTTTTAAAATTATAAAACACTAATTTTTTGTAAATGTATTTTAAATACTTGGAAGAATACACAGGAAAACTTATAGTAAGAGGCCCTGAGAACACCAGGTGTGCGTGCATGCATGCTCAAAATCCTGACAGGAGAATGGAGGAGAAGGGATTGCAGTGTGGCCATCCCCCCTGAGAGATAATTTCTCTTTTTGTCTCTCTGTTTCTCTAGTGAGCCCACACACCCTATAGCAAATATCTCTCTCTAAAAAAAAAAAGAGTCTCTGAGAAGTAGTGGGGTTGGGGAAAGGGAAACTTTCCTTTTCCTTTTTAACCTGAACTGTTTTAAGTATTTTATAACAGTAAGCATGTTTGTCCTTTTAATATGAAAAAATATTTCAAACCTATTTGGAAAACAAAAAAAATCTCACCACTCAGAAGGACCCGCTTAATGTTTTCTTAAGGTTCTTCCTAACCTGACATTTTGCCATATTTGTTTCCAAAGGTATCTGATTTCTGCTTTTTAAATTTGACATTATACCATAAATGTTTCCTCATGTCATTAAAAATTGTTTATTAAGCATCTTTTTTTCCCCAAGAGTCTCTCTCCCCTTTTTTTAGGTATGTCAAAGCAGGGAGTTTACTGAAGGACAAGGAAGGAAACACAGAGCACCCAAGAAGGGAGGGATACCAGAAAATGGGTTCCCCAAAAGTTGTTTATTAAGCATCTTAATAGGTGTGTAGAATTACACTGTTTGGATATATTATAATCACTTTAACTTACCCTATATTTGATTTATCTCTCCCCTATTTCATAACAAAAATACCATTAGACATATTTGTGTATTAATTTGTGTCCATATTTTGATTAGGTCTTGAGAATAGATTCATAAAAATGAAATTACTGGATGAAAGGATATGAACATTTTTAAAGTCTCTTCAAAAAATAATGCTAAATTATTTTACAGAAATATACAAATTTATATCATTAATTTTAATATTCCTCCTAGCAGTGTTTGAAAATGCCTGTATCACATATCTACATTGTTAATTTGCTAGTTTTAATTGTTCCTGTTTATTTTTAGTTGAAATTCTTTGGTTTAGTAAAATTATATATTTGTTACTTGTTTATTAACCACAATGTTTCATCTGTGAATGCCCTGAATTGCCTAAGTCTTTCATCCATTGATCTACTGAATCTTTTGTGGTTTTTATATCAATTTGTGTGAACTATTTATGTATTAAGACTGTAATCACCATCCTGTCATATTTTTGCAAGTATTTTATTTTCCATTTTGTCCTTTTTTTAAATGTGATTTATGTTTTATTTTAAGAGAGGTTTTTGTTGTAGGGTGTGTGCACTCATCAGACACAGAAAGAGACACAAAGAGAAAGTGAGAAACCACTCCCCACAGGGGATGGCCATGCCACAATCTTTTCTCCTCCATTCTCCTCTCAGGATTTTGGGCATACATGCACATGTGTCCAGTGTGAGTTTCAAACTGCCAGGACTAGGACTCAAACTGCAGTAGACCATGTGAGACTCCAGTGCTTTAACCACTATACCACCTGCTGGACCCTGATTTATGTTGTTTTTAATGGGGGACAATTTAAAAGTCAATCTTAGATGGATCCTGAACTTCAACTGTGAACTATTGCTTTCAGAGACTTAAAATGAAGATTTTCTGCTGAGACTTCTTCCTCATTTATTTCTAGTAGGTAGTGTTACCTATCTCTGTCTCCAGCTCTTTCTGTCTCTCTTTGTCTCCCTCAGTCTTTTAATTTCTTAATTTTTTTTTAAGGTAAAGTATTCTCTGGGCTTTCAAGCCCATTTATTGTGTTAGTAGGTGCCTCTCCCCTTTTGTTTAGGAAAGGCAAAAACCCAGGCCCACCTCCACATGGATCCTAAACTTCAGCTGTGAACTAGTGTTCTAGCGCACCATGTGGTTTTCAATTTTTGCATTTTAATATTAAAATCTATAGTTTTTTTTTTTGAGAGAGTTTCACTGTAGGGCGCGTGCGCTCGCCAGACAGACAGAGAGAGACATAGAGACAGAAAGTGAGAAATCACCCCCCAGGGGGGATGGTCACGCTGCAATCCCTTCTCCTCCATTCTCCTCTCAGGATCTTGGGCACGCACGCACACGCGCCCGG